GTTCTTCTTGCTTGCCCACCAAGAAATGCCCCGGAAGTTTGTAAACATAATACGTTCTTTGTATTCTCGGACTTCCGGACGTATGGGAGTGGAGTGAGAGCTCTCCAAAAGCTTCCGCACACAAAGCGGTGTCCATTTCTCCATTCCTGTTTAACTTTGTGATCGACGAAATAATGAGAGGAACGCTGGAGGATCTCCAAAACCCTGGTGTTCAAATAGCCTGAGAAAACCTTGTTGATCTGGGTCATGGTTGTATTGTTAGTTGTGTAGCTCATGGTTGTACGAGGGCTGGGATACTGCCAGGGCGCCCACACCTAGACAGGAGGACGATTAGGGTCCTCAACCAAAGCCTTTGGCTCAAAAGCCTAACCGCAAGGCAGCGGTGTTTAGCGGGAAATGCAAATGCATTACCATTTCTACGGAACAAGTCGCCACATGTTCCAACACCCAACCTGGAGGGCCAGGAGACTGTGTTCGTCAGACCTCTAACCAATGACCGACCTGGTATGAGAGACTCTGTGAGTGTCGCGAGACAATCTCCAGTATAGCTCAATGGATCGCTGAGGTGCGCAAACCGTCACACCACGGTAAGGTCCAGTCTCCTGAAACATGAGGTGGCCTGGTGCAGCACATTCAGTTGCCTGAGAACATCATAAACGAGAGATTCAACTGGGTTCCAGGTGAGTCTCTCGAAAGAACCAAATTAGTTTGCAGATGAGTGTATATTCGCTAATATTCCTACAAGTTTACATGAGTCTACCAGCGAAATGGCTGTAAATTTGGATACTCACACACTTAAAGGGAACATTGGAGACGGCGATTTTGCCGCTTTGGTTCTCACCTGCGGGCAAATCGAACCTATTACTTCACACATAAGCACAATTATTACGATGGGATACATTCATTTTGCAAGAAGTGTAAACTCCGAAGTTTTTGCACTCGATCAGACACTCAGAATGACGTACACAGGTGTAACAAGTTTCCAAAAATAACCCCTATAAGTTCGGATCATATCATAATCATTGCATACTGGATAGTGTTGCCAAACCTGATCGCAGCAACATGGTCATAGGTGTCCTAAATGTACGGAAATGCTTGTTCAGTTTAGTGTACAAATTAGAAAGCTGATAGAACAAGTGAACCAGATTGACTGTCGTGGCGCCACAAGATCTATGATAGTGGCTGGATTACGTTTATTCCAATCCAACTGATTCTACGTTTCAACTTGATAAGAGCTGGTGTCATTTCAGTAAGCCATCATTGGCAGTCAGGTGATGGACCCCTGCTCAACTAACGCTCGTGTACACGCAAGACATTCTTTTAGTATGAGATGAGCATATAAAGCTCCTTGAGCATGATATTTTCATATAGTTTGCATCCTTATTGCCGAACATGAACCCGTTTTTGGACAGTTATTCGATACCACTTTAGAATTGTCAGGGGTTCTTTGGTAAAACAATGCTTTTCTGGAACTCTGTAAGATTGAAAAGCTGCAGCCGATCTGATCGGACAGAAATACATTCAAAGCCCAACAAAACTATCTCCTTTGGGCCAAAGTCATAATCGACCACGGTATACTGCCGGTTGTTCAAGTGGATGCACCTGACATCGTTATTGCCACTCCCTATTGAATGACCACTCCTCTATAGGGAGGGAAATCTCTGCTACTATAGAAGTGGTGAGAAAGTAGCATCACCGTTGTTTAGAAGACGGTTCAAACGGGTCTATGAACAGGTATCAGTTGTTTTCAGTAAGAAAAAGACCTAAGGATGACGAACCGGACGGCCTACGTCAACGCTGCAATTCACAAACCTGATGGAGCTTGCACCCTTAATCTTATGCAACGATAGTGGGGAACCATGAGCTCCTTAAAGCTGTGTAATTTTATGCATTGGTAAGGAACGACTGGGATATTTAATTAGCGGTCGAAGAACCACTCTTTCCATCTGATGGCGTAGAGAGCAAAACAGCTATCATCGGGTACATGTATCTGTTTGCCTTCCCTCGGGACCACGCCAGCCGATTCAAAACCAGTCATTTCAACAACTGCAAAACGCCTCCGTAGCTCAAAACCGGCGAGCTGGGTTGGCGTTGATGGACCGCGAAATCCGAAAAATGGAGAGCTTGCGCAACGAGAAACAATCGCATCCTGTTACAGCTAATCTACGGTAGCGAAGTGTTAAAAACACTGACGCCATGCTGTCGATGCTGCTGATCCGACGAACTGTTTGGAGGAGGACGAGTGTTGATGAAACGATTTCCAAAAAGGACAGGACCTCAATTCATTCACAGAAACGTCATCTTGAACGACGGGATGAATACTCTGAGGAAAACTGGAACTGGGTTCCATAAAAGCACTATCTGAAAGCACCTAACGAACCCGAGTGAAGCGTGGACATCAGTCTGCCATCGTCAACAGAAGTACAACCTGCAATTTCAGTGCTTAGGCGCAACAAAACCACCGGTCTAGACGAATTGCACCCCGCACTTTTCAGGTGGCTAAGCCGTTGAGGCTAACCTAACGAACCCACTACAAAAAGTCTGGAAGAAAAAAATTAAAAGGATCAAGCGCATCGAAGGTGACTTCCGCATTCGAAAAGGATGCAAAGACATTTTGTGAGAACAACCGGGGCATCATCGTGGCCGAAGCTTCCAGGGTGCTCTCCAGGATCACGCTGCGAATGTTTATGTATTACCGGGAGAGCCAGATTCGCGGGAATCAAATTGGGGCTCGTCCTTGCCAGGGCCGCATCATCATATGTTCAGCTCGCGACAAGTGTCGCAACTGCGCCGCGCGGTTGTTGGTCTGTTGGTCAGCGCATCCGAGCTACCTACATTCCAAAACATTGCCACTGCGTCGCTCCTTCGGGTGGTAAACAATGATCGACTTTCTCGATCTCAAAGCTACTTTTTATTCCCTTGGTCTTCAGAAACCGTGGCAGTGTTCTACGATGACAAGTGTCTCACCCAAATTCTTGTCTCTCTGTCCCCTCCAGTGAATGTGCATATGGCAGAGCCCCTCCTGAGTCCACCAGATTTAGCGGTGACAGGCAAGAATGACCAGCGTCGACCTCCATCTTTAACTTTATAATTAATGTACCACCCTAGGCTTCGCCTCCAACACCGTCGTCGAAATAATCCGGGGCATTCTCTTTCATAAACGTCGAATGTTCCAGTGATATTTTTCTTCTTGGATAAGACCCTATAGAGATGTATTATAACTAACCTAAATAATTCTTATACAAAGTACGGTATGCGCGTCGTTCGACGAGCGGTACCCCGCTGCCGACCTGAGAAGCTATGACAGGTCACCAAAGTGAAACCCACTTGTGGTAAAAGTTGATCTTGTGATGCAAAACCCACAACACGCTCATGGTGTGCGTACCGACTGTAAACAATAGTCGTCGCGTGCTTCCAATAGGTTCCGAATGGCCTCACTCTAATCTACCTAAACTGTCAGT